TGTATGGTGGGCATTGCCGAATCATCACTCGAAATGGCCATGTCAATCAATATGGGACATCTATGACGTCAATATCCATCTGGAGCCGGGCAATCGTCGTTGCGTCATGTTTTCAAACTTCAAGTCTGCGGCAACGTCATACGTAACGAGTCTGAGAGCCTGGCCTCGTTTCGTCGATTGCTCTGCAGCCCATCGTGTGGGGCCACGAATAACAACAGCTTCGTGCGTCAACCAGAAGCGTTGATTCTCTGATGCCAAGTTGGTTGAATTTTTAGGTGTAAAGCTTCAATCCATACCCTGCAAGAGTTTAAATGGGCTGCTGGGAGGTATCCACTACCCATCCAGTCGGTGTACCCAGAAAAGATTGAACTTCTGTCTATCAATGGATGTAAGGAAGCATTTATAGGCCATGGATTTTATAGCCACATAGTATGTTTTGCATCCACCCATTTTGGGGGAGTAGTATATCCCTGATTTGTGGCATACACATATTATAGTAATGTGGTAAAGCATGGTATCACATGGTAAAACAAATGGCATACACAACTATCATCTGGGGATGATTCGTAGATATTCTTAGAGGGTTTACCGCAGTAAATGCAAACCTACCCATTCACGATTGCCCAATGGCTTGTCTATTTCTTTCTACTTTCCATAAATGTGGCAAACAAACAGCCCACTGACTTATCAGAGTTTGGATATGTTTGGATCATTATCCAACTTATGCCCTTGGTGCACACGAAGGTGTTGTTGAAAGCCAATCTGGTCAGTCTTGACTTGACGTGACGTCCTCTTTCAGATCCCCGACCTGCAGCCCACTTGAACACATAGTCTATGACATTCCCCGGTAGGCTTCTTGTTCCAAACAGCCAAACATCGGATGGAAGACTCAAACACTTAATCTGGTTGGTGGTATACCTACCCCTCTGAAAAATATGAAAATCAGTTGGGGTTACTATTCCCAATATATGGAAAGTCATAAAATTCATGTTCCAAACCACCAACGACTTAATGATTGAAACAAGAACACGATATGGTCATACCGCCAGGTCAAAATGTGGCCCGTTATACTGATTGATTCGGTCGTGTTTGCAAGGAGCGAGAAATCAGAGAACCATGCGGAGGATAAAGACTCGGAAATTGCGTTGCAGCTGCATGGAATTGATGGAACCAGCCCAAAATCAGCATCTACGCAGCTAATTTGAGACAAAATGTAGGGTGCTCTTCCCCTCCCTGCACAATACCAAAAAACACACACACACAACACGGTATCTCAATTTGAAGACTCGAAGCTTAGGGTGCAAACCAGCCAGTAAGTGATCAACAACCCTAGCATAAGCGAGACATCCGGGAATCCAATCGAGTCCTACCACTGCACCTTTGAGGGCCCAGAGCCGCAGCTGGTTGTAACCACAGTTACCCTGCTGTAAATTCCACGATTTTCCAAAGATGATGATCTAGAAATGCTGGGTGTTACCATCTGGTTATGACTAACATAGCCATGGAAAATCACCATTTTTTATAGGTAAACCATCTATAAATGGGCCATTTTCCATGGCTATGTTAAATAATCAGAGGGTAAATATCCATGTTCATTCACAGGTGGGTACATTATATTGGGATATAAAACGGTACAACATGTTCTTAGCACAACTGCTGGGATCCCACCCATCACATGCCCATGCTGTCCAGATGCATCATTCTTAGCTTGATAGGCACAGCCCAAATTACCTTGGCGACGTTTCTGGCAATGGCTGGGGGAAATTCCTAAAAAGTCTGATCAGCATCTTCAAAACCTCACTTCTAAACATGAGACAACTGACAAATGACCTGCGATGATCAATCAGAGTAATCTCAACCAAAGCTTTTTAAATCCGGCGATGTTTTTTTGGAATTTATGCGAATACTCTTGGTTGTGCATAGTTGGTGACACTGACATCATGTTGGGTACTTGGTGAGTAAGTGGGACCACCGAAGTAACTACCATCAGTTCATATAGGTCATACCCCAAAAAAACAATCTACCCTCTGGTAAGCTAACATAGCTATTGAACATGGGCATTTATAGTGAGTTTGCCCATTGAAAATTGTGATTTTCCATAGTTATGTTAGTTTACCAGAGGGTATCCTCCGTTTTTGCTGCTTAATCCCTCATTGCTGGTGTAGCAATTTCATGATTTCATGATTGGCTTGCCAGTTGAATCTACACTCCACCATCTGTCCCATTCTACTCTCCAGCTGTCAGATGTTCATCATTTTGAATTGGCTAAACCTCAAAATTGTGTGTTGTTTCAACCTCTCTGAAAAAAATGAGTTCGTGAGTTGGGAGTATAATTTCCCAACTAAATGGGTAAATAAAACATGTTTGAAACCACCAACCGGTGAAAATTGTGTCGATCATCTCCCAATGATTTGTTGGGCAAAATATCCTCGTTCTGAATTTGGTTGATATCAGCATCTGGTTGAAACATGTGGAAATCCCAGTTTTGGGCATTTTCGAAAGCTACCGAAAGCTCACATTTACTCGTTGGTGGTGCAATAACCATCTTGAAAAAATATGAGTTCGTCAATGGGAAGGATGACTCCCATATATGAAATGGACAATAAAATTCATGTTTGAAACCACCAACCAGATATAATATATATATATATTGATTATTCACCATATATATCCAATAGTTTCGCTCATGGCTAACCAAGCAGTTTATCATGGCTAACCACACAGATCTTTCGATAAAAAAAACGACAAGTGCGACTAGCTCCGTGGAAACCCGAGAAGTTCGGCCTGCCCAACATTGAAACAGCCGGAAGTAGATTAATACCATCATTGCCAATCTTAGATACCCTGCAAAAATATAGTTTCTTTGCTGGTGAACGTAGATATTCCCATTGATGCCATCTAAGACTAGTTAGGATTAGTTTCTACCCATCCAATCGATTGACCTAGATAATTGGGGCCATCCAATGATTCAACGAATGTCTCCACAAAGGTTGGTGATTGAAGTACCCATCTAAGATTGACCTAGCCATATTCTTGCGGATTTGATATACACGTTGATACATTTGGGAAAAATGGGATCACCATCGGAGTATTTTATACTTCCACATCGGAGTCTGGTGATTCTGCCCTTTAGCTCGTTAGCTTCTCATATCCCCACAGCCAAATACTCCAAGACTATCATCAACTATCCATCCAAGGTACAGCCAATCAACCGAACAACAAAGGCCAATGGTTCAATTTCATCCTGTTTTCCATCTAGTTTTGGTGCTTTCAACTGGTTGAAAAACTAAGATGTTTCCTTAGGATGATGGTATGTTCCCATTTACCCAATCAACAATCTGGGTATATTCTAATTTTTCACTCACCTGAATAATTCGGACATAAAAAGGGCATGATTTCCCGAAAAAAAAATCGCGAGGAGGTTTTGTGTGTGTACTCGCCAAGTGACAACCGATCAGTAACCGTGCCTACACCCTGAGCAGGCTAGTTGGACAATCTGTGGCGCACAAGCGGGTCCATCTCGGAGTACACTGATACCGAGACCACGCAGACTCTTGACTGTGACTGGTACCCCGATAGCCTCATCACCCGGGCGGTAGCATCGAACTCGGCCACTATCTTCCTCACTAGGTCCGTACGCCTGCGCGGAACGATTGTGTACCTCGACATCTGGTCCCTCCTCTCGCTGTGCACTCCTACCATCCTCAGCACGGGATAGTCAGGCTGCTCATAGCTTCGTGCACACCAGTGGTGCATGCCGCTGCAAGTGAGGTGGACACATGGTTCCAGCCTTCGGGAGAACAGGGTTCGGTCCTTATAATTTACCCAATCAGTATATAACTATAATCATATACAGATATCACTGTTGTTATATATATATATATAGATGTATACTAACCATATTTAATAATCATATATGGTCTTCTTAAACAACTGTATTGAATAACCATAATAATCATATATAACTATATTGTTATACTATATATATATATCTCACCATCGTTAAATAAATAAATCAATATATATATATATGATAAAATCCATATTATTTAATAATGGTATTTAATAGTCATATATTGAATAAAAATAATAACCATATTTAATAGTTATATATAGTGTATTTAATGAGCATAATAATCTTAGTAGTCATAACAATCATAATAACCATAATAATCATATAATCATATACTTTAACATATATATATATACCCTCTGGTAAACTAACATAGCTATGGAGAATGACCCATTTATAGATGGTTTACCTATTAGAAAAGGCGATTTTCAATAGCTGTTAGAATTCCATCATTACTAACCATATTTAATCTATATCTATTTATTTACCATATCTATATACTAACCATATTTAATAATCATATACGGTCTTCTTAAGCAACTGTATTTGATAACCATAATAATCATATATAACTATAACTATATTGTTACATTAAATATATATCACCATTGTTATATACATGATAACATCAATATTATTTAGAGAGCGTAACGCTGTGGGCCCCTGATGAGGCTTGCGGAGAAAGATAGACAAGCAAGCAAGCAAGCAAAGTGCAAGTTACACCCTCTCGCACTTTTCCTTTTTTCATGCGGTGTGTTCACAGGTACTACAAACAAAGAGATACTCTACGGCCTCGTCACTCCGCGACGTGGAGTGCTCGACCACCTGCAGATGCCCGCCGCAGCCTTTGCAGCGGTGCGGAGCCAGCTCACGTAGGCAGCTCACGAGAGGATCGACGGCGGATACAGACGATGAACCTTGCGGACAACTGACCACCAGGTCCGCGGTGGTCAGATTGCGACCGTCCTCGACGGTGGTTGCTGCGCGGCAGCACGGCGAGGAGGTCAAGAGGCTCGACCCGCGCCTTCGCCAGGCGCAGCTCGTGCTGCGCACGGCGGACGCGCCATGGCGTCGCCGGTGGGAGGTCGGCCACGAGCTCGGCGACGTGCACTTCGAGGGTGCCGCGTCCGCGCTGCGCGTGCATGGAGGCGTTGAGCCGCTGTAGCTGCGAGCCGTGGTGCTTCTTCGTGGCTTCGTTGAGCTTCCACTTCTTCATCATCGGGGCGTGGTAGTGCAGCATGGTAACCGAGGAGATGGCCAGTCCGCTAGCCTGCGGCGGTCGGATCCGTGCCACCTGCAGCACCCGCAGCGTCGCCAACGCCAGCCAGCTCGCCTCGGCCAGCGTCACGGGGCGGGCGGCAATTCAAGGGGCAGCCGCAACATCCAGAAAGGCTCGGGTCAGCTCGGCCTGCAACGCCCAGGGCAGCGAGGGGTGCGGCAGCATGGCTTCTGTCGGGGCGGCGGCCGCCTCCAGCTTCGCGAGCGCCTCACCCACCGAGGTGTGCGTGGCAGGGATGACTGCGTCCGCTACATAGGCACGGCAAAGGAGCTCCAGCAGGCGTTGCCGCTCCAGCTCGAGGACTGGCACGGCCCCCGGCAGGACGGGCACGTTCTGCAGCAAGGTGGGCCAGAAGCTCTCGCGAAGCGCAAGCATGGCAATGGATGAGGTCCTTGAGCCTGCATGGCGGCGGCATCCGGCTTCGACAGACAGACAGACAGACAGACACCCCTACATGGAGAGCACACGCGCGCGCGGTGCCTTTTTTTCCCGCTCAGAGAGTGTCCACGAGAGTCTGCAGCCGCGCTGCCACGCGACGGCCGCTCATCCGTGCGCACGATGACTTCACCACTGGCCGTGGAGGCAGCCTGCGGCACCAACGCGCCCTGCAGCTGCGGGAAGCGCTCGCAGATGTCGGCGCATGCGCCGCAGCCCACGCAGCCTGGCAGGTCCTCCACATCGATGTGCTCGGTTACTTTCTGATTATTTAATAATGGTATTTAATAAGCATAATAATCATAATAAGCATAATAATGCAAAAAAATCATAATGATAATATATAATCATATATAATCATATATAATCAAATATAATCATATATAATCAAATATAATCATATATAATCAAATATAATCATATATAATCATATAAAATCAAATATAATCATATAAAATCATATATAATCAAATATAATCAAATATAATCATATATAATCATATAAAATCAAATATAATCATATAAAATCATATATAATCATATATAATCATATATAATCAAATAAAATCACATATAATCATATAAAATCATATATAATCATACATAATCAAATATAATCATATATAGTCAAATATAATCATATATAATCATATATAATCATATATAATCAAATATAATCATATATAATCAAATGTAATCATATAAAATCACACACACATATATATATATATCACCATTGTTATAATATGTTCATAATGCTCTCCCTGGCTTCACCAAGGCACCGCATGCCACATGGCTCAGTGGCGCCATCTGCCGTGCATCGTGCAGTTCACGGATGGACCTGGGGCGATGGATGCGACAAGGGCGATGGCACAACTGGGAAAACAACTGACATAAGGTAAACCATGGGTTTCACTATTAAAATTGTCATATGGCAGTGTGTCAAAACCTTGTACCCCTGGTGAACATCAAAATAGCTGGTAAATGGATGTTCATCCCCCTAAAAATGGTATGTATAGGTATTGATCCATACCCATATATATGTATATACTTATGTATAATATATATGTATATACACATCATATTATATATATACACACAATATACACATATGACATGTACTTTTCATATGGGTCTAGTACCCCTACATTACCCATACTTCTCCCACGATAGTTTCGTGACTAACTATTATGGGATTTGGACCCGTATAATGGTTATTATGGGATTAACCTGTAGTGATGCTGGTTAAGGGTTATTAAGAATTATTATGACGGCAATTACTAACAAGGGGATTATTAGACCTAATTAGTGGCTACTAACAAGGGGATAACATGGGATTACTTAACCATCAAAGTGAATGGTAATCATCACTTTAATAATGGATTAATCATCACTAATTTGATGTATTAACCCCATTAACAATTTATTACTAACCCATTATTATGCTTATAACTATGAACCATTTACCATTCATATGATGATAACTAAGAATTACTGCAATTAATGATCATTAGCCCTTAACCAATGGTGACTATGGTTAGTAAGAATCAACTCATTGGTTAGTAACTATAGTTACTGGTTGGTGGTTATGATAATTACAATCATGATTGTAGTTATAATTATCATGATGATTAGAACAGTAATAGTAATAATAACAATAATAATAGGACATGATAAGGATCTTGGGATATAATAGCTGGGATATATTGAACATGATAAGGATATTATTCTTCCCAACTGAATAGAAAAATAAGAAATGTTCCAAACCACCAACAAGATAAGGATCTTGGGATATAATAGCTGAGATAGATTGAAAATGATAGGGATACTAGATGATATTAGATAATCTTAGGATATGAGCACAACTGGGAAAATGATAAGGATACTGTGGATGGTTGCGAAATCCTGCACCACCAAAAAGATTGTTGAAACCCGAACTAAATCATGGTATGTTTACCACCTATTAAATGGTAGAGGATTTCGCAACCATCCACAGTATGATAAGGATCATGGGATATAGTAGCTGGGATTTATTGAATTGAAAGTGATAGGGATATTAGATGATACAACAGGATATCATGGCGCTTTCTACCGTGGGATTGATATTGATGAATGAAAATTAATGAAAAGTCTAAATTGATGGCCAAGCCAACTTACCTATCGTTGGGGGGTCCCTTCCTTTGAAACGTCATATATGGAGGTTTCCTAAAATAGTGGTAGCCCTAAATCAGCAATTTATAGATGGGATTTTCATTGAAATAAAGATAAATAAATCATGTATTTAGCGGTACCACCTATTTTAGGAAACCCCCATATTTGACTAATTCTTTAACTTCTGCTTTCAAACCTGACATGTTATGAAGGATACATTGCCTGTAGCAAAACAAAGGGAAAATGATGGACGATGATAGTGAATATTTTTTTTGGCACCCGAGTTTGAGATTGACAAAGCCATGCAAGGAACCCCTGGCAATTGATTTTGGCGACAGCACCAGCACATCAAATCTGGTAGTCTGGGCTGCGCACTTTTTTGTTTGAAAGATCTGTGGGAGCTGGTCTCATACACCATTTACGTCCATTCCTAGATTGCTAAACATCATATGCCATATGCGCTCATTCGTGGCTAGAGTTCGTCCATCAACCCCAAACCAAGATTTCTCCGGTATCTCCTTCCTCTTCCATGATCCTGAAGCAAAACAAGGCCATGTTTCGCGCAGAAAGTCGTAGCCGTTCCCATGGGTCTTTCTGTCAACACGACATGTCACAAGGGAGGAAAGCGCTACAAATATTGGAGTTGCAGCTGAATTGCAGAGCTGTCGCCAACACAGTCTGGCATGCCCCAGGTGACGACTGACTTATCAGCCAAGATGGCAGCGAAGGCACCCCCAGTAACACCGAACATGCCCTGAACTTGCTGCACATTCTTCAGCTGATCTTGAACTACAGAGCTGTCACCACCATAGTATGGACTGCCCCAGGTAACGACGGATCCATCAGATAACATGGCAGCAAATGCCCCTCCTGTGGACCGAACTTGCTGCACATTCTGGAGCTGATCTTGAACTGCAGAGCTGTCGCCACCACAGTCTGGCATGCCCCAGGTGACGACTGACTTATCAGCCAAGATGGCAGCGAAGGCAGCCCCAGTAAAGCCGAACGTGCCCTGAACTTGCTGCACATTCTTGAGCTGATCTCGAACTGCAGAGCTGTCGCTGCCAAACATTGTACTGCCCCAGGTAACGACGGATTCATCTGCCAAGATGGCAGCAAATGCCCCTAGTGTGGCCTGAACTTGCTGGACATTCTTGAGCTGATCTCGAACTGCAGAGCTGTCGCCACCAGACCTTTGACTGCCCCAGGTAACTACGGATCCATCAGATAAGATGGCAGCAAATGCCCATCCTGTAGCCTGAATTTGGTGCACATTCTGGAGCTGATCTCGAACTGCAGAGCTGTCGCCACCATAGTATGGATGGCCCCAGGTAACCACGGATCCATCTGCCAAGATGGCAGCAAATGCCTGTTGTGTGGCCTGAACTTGCTGGATATTCTTGAGCTGATCTCGAACTGCAGAGCTGTCGCCACCATAGTATGGATTGCCCCAGGTAACCACGGATCCATCTGCCAAGATGGCAGCAAATGCCTGTTGTGTGGCCTGAACTTGCTGGACATTCTTGAGGTGATATTGAACTGCAGAGCTGTTGCCACCATAGCTTGGTCTGCCCCAAGTAACGACGGATCCGTCAGCCAAGACTGCGGCAAAAGCACCACCTCCAAAAAGACAATTTGTGCCCTGCACTTGCTGCACATCTTTGAGTTGATCTTGAACTGCAGAGCTGTTGCCACCATAGTTTGGATCACCCCAGGTAGCCACGGATCCAGCTGCCAGGATGGCAGCAAATGCCCCTCCTGTGGACCGAACTTGCTGCACATTCTGGAGCTGATCTTGAACTGCAGAGCTGTCGCCACCCTTGTCTGGCATGCCCCAAGTCACAATTCCATGACCCCCACAGCACCATATTGCAAAAGCTGCCGATGTTGCTGCCACTTTGGGCTGTTGTGCAACAACTGTTAAGTGCGCTCCTTCTTGGATTCCCGCAGTGAGCAAGGAGTCCTCAGGATTGGTCAGGACGTGTCCCTTCTCTGTGACAAGCTTCAGAAATCCTTGCCTGAATGACTTCTGCACTAGAACTTTCAGCTCGCCCACTGTAGAGTTTTGTGGAAGCGCCAGAGTCTCACCGCAACCACTCGGGAACGAGACATCTACTTTGAGCATTGCTTGTTCAGGATCCCAAATGGGGTCCCAAAAGCTTTGAGTCACAAGGAGGCCGAAAGCCTGCCAAAAAGTGAGTTTATGTTGTTTGTGTGAATGATTTCCAATGGAATTTCATCTAGCCAGATATATTGCCAGATTGAAACCTTGTTTTCAGATTTTTGCCAAATATTGACATATTTTTTTTTTACTAGAAACATGTAATTATAATTGTTTGTGGTTAATTCTAAACTAAAAATAACCTACATTCTATATAACATTGCCAAATATTGATGTATCGAGCCACAAATTTTCGGCGCAGAGATTTTGGTGATTCTGGTGGATCATACTCCCAAAAAACAGCGCTCATCCAACATTCCGGCTTTGACTCAAATGAAGGGTTCGTCAAAAGCCGATCAGTAGCCTTGTGAGAAAAGAAAACTGGGAGTTATGGATGTTCATTCCTGCAAACTTGGGTAAAATAGGTTTTGATCCATAGCTATATCGGGCTTCGAAAGTCAGGCAACACAAGTTTTCCACATGATTCATCATTTTGAAGGGGGAAAACAATGGTTAAGAGGGCTCACCCAATTTCAAAAGGACATTGATATGGATTTCGAAGTGAAAAATGATGTAGCCTCTAGCAATTTAACACACCTATGTAAAATCACCATGGCCATTTTCCATAGCTATGTCGAATTGAAGCTAGAGATAGGACTATCCAGCCATCAGGACTTCGACTTACACACTGGCGAAATTGCACAGTAAACAATTTTTTTGAATAAGTTATAAGAGAACATGTGGTAAGATTTCTGTACAATTAGAGTAATTATATACTGATTATACTGCTCTTGGCAGTAAACCAGTCAGTCTGAATGTGATAAGACTCGTTAGTTCTGAAATCCCTCCGTGTTATCGATCATATCCCGGTTAACTCATGATATCCCCATATACCCTCTGGTAATTTCTTACATAACGAACTGGAAAGATCCACCATTGAACAAATTCAAGGTTTATGGCAATGGTTGGAAAGATCCCATAGACGGCTTGAACTATCTCATTATATCGCCAGATTCGACTGGATGACCAGCTCCCACATATGGTAAAATGCTGGTGAATAGTGGTGAATAGTGGTTTATAGTGGTTGATAATGGTTGATAATGGTTAATATACTGATCATCGAATCTGGTTGGTGGTTTGAATCCCTCTGAAAAATGATGGACTTCGTCAGTTGGGATGATGACATTCCCAACTGAATGGAAAAATAAAATCCATGATCCAAACCACCAACCAAATATGGTTTGTAAATTCACAAGTTCTGGTTGTAGGTCCCATTATTGTAACTTCTTTAAACCAGCATTTTTTCGAATTAACACCTCATTCTTATCCGACATTTATCCATAACTACGCAATATAATCCCATAATTTCCAATCAGGGTATATAACATAGTTTCATTATCGATAAATGTAAATGAACTACTATAGGATCCATAGTTGTCCATAGCTATCCATAGTTCTCCATAGCTATCCATAGTTATCCATAGCTATCCATAGTTGTGCATAGCCATCCATAGTTATCCGTACAAGGTGGTGCCCCATACTTAGCTAAGTAGGTTTATAACTTTTTATTTATTTTTTGACGAGGCCAAATGATTAGCTGTATATATATTTATATATATACAATGTTTTTAGCCCCCCCAGTTATAAGATGGTCTATAAACCCCATTAACTATAGTTATAGGTACCATAAACCATAGTGAAATTGGAGTTATGTTCACCAACTGAACGCTATCGTTTGGGGGCCCCACTTTGTATATATTCATAGGGGTTACCAACAAACATCACTGGGGCGGCACCTTGTAACATATCCGATCCAGGTAGCATGGCCAATCAGCTAGATACCATGTAAAAATGACAAATTGTTAGCTGGTGAACGTGGATAATCCCATACCATCCAAGACTAGTTAGGATTATATAGTTTCTACCCATCCAGTCGATTGACCTAGTAAATATGGTTTATACATTGTTTATGATATAAATATGGTTTATCGTATACAGCTAGAGGTTTATAATCTCCAGTAACTATAGTTATAAGTACCATAAACCATAGTTATTGTCATATATGTGTCATGATCATAATCTATAAATACACCATATAAAAACATGTACATAGAAAATAGTTGATTTACCTGGTAAAGATGCTGATTTTCCACAGATTGTATACATTGTCCATTAATCATCCATTAATCATCCCATTAATCATCCCATTAATCATCTCATTAACCATCCAGTTGATTTATAATCTCCAGTAACTAGTTCGTTATAAGTACTATAAACCATAGTTATTGTCATTAACCATAGTTATTCGTCATGTATCCAGTCGATTGACCATCCGAAAAAATGTTTGAAAAGCCTTCGCCGTATGACACCCAGATCTTCTACCATCCACTGGAGTGAACTCGCCAGATTCGACTGGACCAGCGAGCTCCCCCAGTGGCTTAATGGTGGTTAATAGTGGTTTATAGTGGTTGATAATGGTTAATATACTGTTAATACTGGTTAATATTGATGGTTGTTATATGGTTAATGATGGTGAATAATATCTGGTTGGAGGTTGACCTTTGACCTACCCCTCTGAACAATGATGGAGTTCGTCAGTTGGGATGATGACATTCCCAATATATGGAAAACATGTTCCAAACCACCAACCAGTAATAATCCGTTGCCGTTTACCTATTGGATTATATTATATTAGTCTATGACAATAAAATAGAATCTTATAATCCAAAAAAATCCAAAAAACAACCTTCCTCGGGTTATTTAACATAACCATGGAAAATCACCATTTTTAATAGGTAAACCATCTATAAATGGGCCATCTATACCATGGCTATGTTAAATAACCAGAGGGTATCTCATTATTGCTTACTCTGATAAAAATCAATGCCAATTATTCACCACTATCATGAAAATTACCATGGATTACCATGTTTCATGACCAATTTTTTCATCATAGCAGTGGTTCATCCTATGTTTTTTTCGCAAGCACCCTTTTTTGAATTGTAACTTACCGAGAAAGTGCTCTCCCAAAAGATAGAAGCTTGCAAAACTCTGCAAAGATCATGATACCCTCTGGTAAACGTTTACATAACAAACTGGAAAATCACCATGCTATCAATGGGTAAATCCACTATTTCTATGGCCATTTTCACCATTTTCAATGGGTAAATCCACTCTAAATGGCCATTTTCAGTAGCTATGTTGACATTACCAGAGGGTACATGAGTTTCTGTCTTATGGGGAGTGCTATAAACTCACCAAGCCCCACTAGCAGCTAAGCTTTGTAGCGATCATCAATAACCGAGTATCAATCCCGTCCCCCTAATTATATAATTATATATAAACATCTATAATAAATAACCTAGTATTAAACATCTATATATAATCAATAACCTAATATTAAACATCTATATATAATTATATATAAACATCCCCCAAATGGTCCTGGAAAATTATGTGTCATCATGTGTGAATCCCCTATTACACCATGGTTTATGAGAGGTGTTTAATATCCCACCACCATTCATTGGGTATAAACAAAAACAATTCCCATAGTTGAAAGTTTCATGGGAGGTGTTTAATATACCCTACTAAACCAAACCATGTTTTATGAGTTGAAAAAAATCATATATATATATATAATATATATATCATTATATATCAGAATGTATTCTATATTAAATATACCATATATACATTGCCAATCTTAGATACCCTGCAAAAAATGACAAATTCTTTGCTGGTGAACGTAGATATTCCCATAATACCATCCAAGACTAGTTAGGATTAGTTTGTATCCATGTAAGATTGAGCTAGTATCATAAATCAGCAACCAAAATCCAATTGTTTTCACCACCATTGATGTTGGTTAAATCACCATTTTCCCATGGTTTTTCACATTACCCAGATTCATATCCCATATTAAATATCTATATACCATATCATTATATATCAGAATGTATTCTATATTAAATATCCCATATATATATATACAGTATATATAATCCCAGCAATTGGGGGATTTCCCACGACTCGTCCACGACTCGTCGAGCGCGAGCAATCGAGCAACTCATCGACTCGTCCCTCATGAAGCAAGCGTGCCCCCAGCTTGGTGGCACGCATCGCCTAGGCGCAGTTTTTTTTTAAAGGACGGTCCAAAAAGACAGAGGTGGTTTTTTTGGTGGTTTATAGTGGTTGATAAACCTATAATGGTTAATGATGATTTATATAGTGGCAATATACCTGGTTAATGGTTAATAATGGTTGGTAATAGTGGTAATATACCATTATAAACCATTATAATGGTTAATATACCTGGTTAATAATGGTTAATATTGATGGTTGTTATATGGTTAATGATGGTTTATAATATCTGGTTGGTGGTTGACCTATCCCTCTGATGATGGAGTGAGTAACAGTTGGGATGAGTATTCCCATCTGAATGGAAACATAATCCAAATGTTCCAAACCACCAACCAGATATATACCATAACATTAATGGGAACATCATAGTGACTAACATTCATAGTGATTGATGGTGCTTCAGAGTGATTAACTTCTATCATGATTAATAGTGACTCATGGGAAAATAATCTATCAATGGTGACTACTAATGATTAATAGTGAATAATTATAGGATTTAGCCTAGGGTACACGTTTACATAGATGTGCAACACCCATGGTTTCCCTACGAAAATAATCTGCAAATAGTGGCTTTTCCACATCTATGTTATGTTAGTTTGCTGAAGGGTATCCTCGTTTACCCATGCAGGAAAAAATGGTGATTTATAGTTTTTTTTATGTAAGCCAAGTTGGTTTATAACTCCAAGAACTATGGTTTACGGTAGATGGAACTGTAGTTAATGCGGGTTTTTAAACCAACAAACGTCAGGGGTGGCACAATAGGTGGGGTATTTGGGATATGGGATGTTTGCTTCTATCGGACATATTCTGTTGAATGTGGTTTGAAGACTACGATGAATTACAGTAGATGGGATACACATCCATTGGTTACGGGATGCAAACGGCTCGCAAATAAGAACATGTGCGATCCGACAAACAAGAAAAGTTCATCTCTTCCCTGGATCACATTATTTCATCATTAAATCACCCCCCATGAATCAAAGCCTGCGGAAAAATAAGGATTGGATCTGTTGCTTTTGGGTGCTATGGGAGGTATAAAAAATATTGAAGATGAGATTCAACATCAATTCATCTCCTTGAAGGAAACACTTGAACAGTCGAAATGGGTGGTTGACATGGCTGATTCAAGCCGACGACTCACCGGTTATCGGGACTTGGTCTTTGGCATGAGCCATTGCGTGACGGGTAAGTGAGCTCGGGTGTGTCTCGGAAAGCCTGGAAGGTGCTGACTCACATTTGCAACTGAAGTGCCAAGCTCCCAGGGCTGATACCACTGGTTCCATGTGGCGCCAAAGGGTTCCGTGGCAGTTCCATCGTGGATTCTTCCCAAGCAGCGACGGATGGCAAGCCTACGGATGCGCAGTGGGTCCCTGAGCATATTAAGACATTTTACCATGTCGTCAGCCACTGGTGTGGTATGCCGCCACTGGAGAGGCTTGCATGTTGCAGAACTCGATGACTTCTTGGATGTGGTACCATATCGGTGTAAATCCTAATGCCATGGTTTTCACATCAAAATAGCTAGTAAGTGCATGCTCATCCAACCCAAAACGACATTGAACGCCATTGATCCAGGCAGCTACAAGTACCACCCAACACAGAGTTTGATTCAACATCCCCAACACCGAAGAAAAGGTCTTCGCAACCTGAGATCTGTTAGCCAATCGTTTCCTCTACATCTTTACCAGCCGGTAATGTAACACAGGAAGTAGCTCATGTATAGATAATTTACCCATTAAAAATGGGAATTGTGCATCGCTATATTGCATTATCAGAGGGTAATCATCATTGACGCGGTGTAAGCTTGTCTAGGTAGTCGCTGTTTATATCAGTGATATTCTGGTTTTTGTGGTTTCAAAACATACATGCAGCCCTACATACCCCCTGGTAAACTAACGTAACTATGGAAAATCACCATCTTTAATGGGTAAATCCACTACAAATGGCCATTTTCAATAGCTATGTAAACGTTTACCAGAGGGTAATTGGGATCATCATCCAATGATTCAACGAAGACCTCCACAAAGGTTGGTGATATGATCGGGAAAACTACACCATTCCGAGGGTGACACCCGGGCTTTTTTGGTTCTCCCCAAGTCTTCTGGAGATGGAGCCCATTTTGATGATTTTTCATGGCTCAAAAGCAACAGCCTGCAAATTTACCCTCTGGTAATTCAACATAGCTATTGAAAATGGCCCATTTATAGATTGTTTACCTATTGAACATGGTGATTTTCAATAGCTATGTTAAATTACCAGAGGTAATGTTATCAACATATCCTCCATCTGAACAGTTTTTTGCCTCCTTTGATAACCCTTACTAACCACGTTCTCTGCTGAAGTTGGCCAGACCGGAAATTAACTTACGATCGCTGAACATGTTCCCACATGGCAAATCTTTTACAATACCCTACAGAGAATGTAATTTCCAGATCGATACAGCACACATCAGGGTATATCTGGATAGACTAAAATAACCCGACAATCGAAATATGGTTACGCGCAGATATTTCATCGTGGGTTAAATTGCATGTTTGCTTTTTCCGCCATAGTACCCTAATTCTTACTATTACTAACTACTAACCATCATTTTAGTGATATCGCAATGAGGTCATTGTAATTCCAGATACTCTAGGGTAAACAAACGTTTACATTGACGTGGAAAACCTATGGTTTCCCCAGAACATATATCATCTAGAAGTCTAACATCATCCAGAAACACATAGGATGAGCTAACTCCAAACGTTTACCGGGTATATACTCCAACAGGTGGCAAAAACACATTGCACAGCAGCCAGGATTGAAGGGGCCTCTGGATGTTCAGAGTCCAGAGGATGGAGCACGAAGATGTGGGACAAACCAATATCCTGCGCCGGACATAGCACGTCGTCATGCCTTTTGCGTAGCCTTTGATGAGATGAAGAACAAAAAACACGGGATTATGTGGTACCGGCAATTTGTTACACTTCGCTATTGAAAATACCCCATAGTTAAATAGTTGATTTACCCAGCTACAAAATGGTGGATCTTTCCAGTTCGTTATGTAACGTTTACCAGAGGGTAAACCCCAATGATGAATCATCCACCAAGTCACCAGTTTTTCTGGGATTCAGACCATCTCCAAATGGAAGGCTGATGAAGATTCGATTGCCAACATCTAATTACTGGTTGGTGGTTGAGCTCGTCTACTCCTCATGAATGGTTAATATTAATGGTTATTATATGGTTAATGATCTTGAATAATATGGTTTACTGCTTTGTGGTTGAGCCTACCCCCTTCTGAAAAATGATGGACTTCATCAGTTGGGATGATTTTTCCCAACTGAATGGAAAGTCATAAAAATAATGTTCCAAACCACCAAGCAGATTTAGTTGGGGAGTCAAGTGCCGCGTTTGTAACAAAGGCCTCAAAAACTCACGCTAACGAACTTTCCAAATCGAGTTTGATAAGACCCAGTTGTAGCTTCTGACAGCAAACATGCGGGATATGGGCTGTTCACTATGAAGAAATGGATATGCGAACGAAACTGGGGGATATGATGAGATATGTTTCATATGATTTACCCCTGAGAGTGGATATTTAGGACGCCCAAAGGGGAGCATTTTTTAAAGCCAACAGAAATCATGGCTTTTCCTGCAAGGTGGTGCCCTCAAGATACACTGTATCTACGGTTGGTGAGCTTTTAAACCATTCAATACTTGGGGGGGCACATTACTTTAATTATGAACCCAATGATATCAAATAGCCATTACTGGAAAAATCTCTCATTTCCTATATCAAATAGTTTTCATCATTTTTGACTGGAAATAATCAAAACCAAAACATGAGAGATTTTTTTCCATAGCTAGAGAGTACTCCGCGGAAAAATCTCTCCATCAAGTTTCAAGGCCGTCGAGGAAGCCTCTGACAGCGCTTCCTATTGTGCAGGAATTCCTTGTGGTGAACCAGGGGTTGGTAACTGTCCCATTTTGGGAATATTGGACATCACCTGAAAAAGTAGCCATTATAGACAATATACCTAATGGTTGGGTGATGTTCAATGGGGACATTTAATGACCCATGTGAACTCGGGACAAGTGTTGCTGCTTCAAAGATATCATGTTTTATACATCTACAAAGCTGGCTTTGTCTGAACATAGGCTGTCCTAGGATCCACTTCTTCATCATCCCATTTAAAATGCCAGTTGGGGAAGATATCACATTTCCAGACAAACGCATACATCGACTAATGCCCTGCGTTCTAGAGCAGATCGCAGATTTCTATGTAAGGGACGGTACATCCTATAGCTTTGATACAAGATTCTTCCGAAAAAACTTGCAAAGCCACGCTCATCATAGTCAGTTCAGCCAAAGTTCAGCATTTTTTTGCTAATCTCTTCAGCATTAATGCAAAGTTTTGCTAGTCTCTTGCTTTTGGCTGCTGCTGCAATCGCCTCTTCACGATGCGCACATCGAATCGATGCAGGTTCCATTGGTCCATCTCTGCTAAAGTGATGTGCTGGGATGGCTTACCCATGAAATATTATGGTCAGTATATTCCACCGTACCTGGTAATTTACCATGTAATTCCACATTCAAAAACAATGCATTGAATATGCTCAAACAACATCGCATCATTCTGTGTTACTTGCTTACCCTAGATGAATAAGTAATATGTGTTTTCCTATTTAAGATCCCCTTAATTCTCGGTTATGACGAATATTGTAATGGGATATGTATACATGTAGTATGCAATCACATATCAACATTTTAAAAACAGCAATCCGATTCTGTACCATCAATTTTAATCTCCAGTAGCTATAATTATAAGTACCATAAACCATAGTTATTGTAATATATTTGCCATGATCATAATCTATAAATACACCATATAAAAACATGTACATAGAAAATAGTTGATTTACAAAGTAAAGATGGTGATTTTCCACAGATTATATACATTATCCATTAATCATCCATTAATCATCCCATTAATCATCTCATTAACCATCCATTAACCCTCCATTAACCATCCAGTTGATTGACCTAGAAAAAATAATAATATGTTCAGTAACTAGGAGGTTTATACATATATTTAAGCATCCAGTTGATTGACCTAGAAACCCTCCATATACAGTTAGAGGTTTATAATCTCCAGTTATAAGTACCATAAACCATAAACCATTTATGTTGGTTAAATCACCATTTTCTCATGGTTATTGCCATATATTTGCCATGATCATAATCTATGAATACCTGGATATGTTCATCTCCGCCCCAGCCCAAACCGTCCACGCCCCATCCACTTCAGAATCCACCTCTTGTCGCGGGGCGGCGGCGCCACATGTGGCACCCAAGGCCTGCATACAATTGGGACATAGCCCAGAATATGTGAAAAACATATGTATCATTAAGAGCTTCGGTTTTGAGTCCATTCCGCAGCAGTTGAGCACGAACGTTATTAGGGGGCTTGTGAAACGTGCACAACTCCTATGAAACGTGCACAACTTCTATGGAATGTGCACAACTTCTATGGAACGTGCACAACTGCTATGGAACGTGCGCAACTGCTATGAAACGTGCACAACTTCTATGATTTATATAAGTTTTCAAACACTGCAAAAAGCTCTTAACGATACTATACCCATATATATCTATATATGGTCACCCCCCCACGACCCCCTGACATGCTGTTTGTACTGTGATTTACAATATAACATGCTCATTTTTTATGTTCACATCATTATAACATACATATGTAAAGTATGAGAAATTATATTTATCTATACATGATGAGAGAGAGTATTATTCGCTTCATTACACCCTTAGAAAAAAAACAATATAGTAATATAGTCCATCATATATTCTGGGTAATAAACATAAACTATATACCCCAGAATATACGATGGAATTTCAATAAAAAATGATCCCAGATATCTATGGACATATTCTGACCTAAAATGATGAATATAAACGGGATAACATTTATTGAAATATCATTCGCATTTGTATCCATATGTAAAATTTATATAATGGGTATATAATGGGTTTATGGCAAAACCAAAGAATTGACAAATGAAAGATGATCTTTGATGAGGCTTTACGCTCCAGTAATCCCCCAACTATTGGGAATAGCATCTCCAACTGATGGGGATATATAACCTAACAATCATGATATTGTTGGGGAATCTGTTGAATCAGTTTCAGGACAATCAGGATATTCAATGTTTTTGAGATATAATTGAATGAATACATACATACATTACATTACATTACATTGCATTGCATTGCATTACATTACATACATCTCATGATGTTTAGTTGGGATACCCTCCAGTGGAAAATCCCCTATCAATGGAACTTTTAATTTGGAGGATTTCCATTGCCACGGCCATGATTACCAAAGGCTATTTTTGGTGGGGATGTGTTTCAGTTCAGGGAAAATAATAGTGGTTATATATATATATATATGGTTATATATATACATGATGGGATTATAACATATTATATAATATACAACCAGTTGGTGGTTTTAACCATCTTGAAAAATATGAAAGTCAATGGGAAGGATTATCCCATATATGAAATGGACAATAAAACATGTTTGAAACCACCAACCAGAATACCATCTTAATTGGGAAACCTATTCCATTGTATTTGAATGGGGTGTAGTGGGTATACTCTCTGGTAAACGTTTACATAACCATGGACGATCACAATGTTAATGGGTAAATCAACTATACATGCTAAACTAAACTAACATAACTATAGAACAATCTATGAAAATCATCCGGTTGAATTTTGGCAAATCAATGAACTAAATGGCCATGACTCACTCGTTTTTTGTTCCAACAATTGGATTTTTTAAGGAATGTTTCAGTTCAGGGAAAATCCCTCTGGGTACTGATATCTCGGATAGATAGTCGGAATGTTTATCAGTACCTCTTGACAAGAGGTACTGTTAAGGCGAATGTAGGATATGTACTGACTATACTATACGTGCCTGTTAAGGATTGATCAATTTATTTCGCTGGGTGTATGCATAAATCAGAGATACTGATCTATGCAAGGTTTATTCAATGGGAATTCCAGGATCCTAAAATGGAGATACTGTACCATATAAGGTCATATTTTGTGGTGATATTCACATACATAGGCCTAAAAAATAGGCCTTATATATGGTAGGTACCTCCATTTTAGGATCCTGAAATTCCCATTCACTAGTTCGTTATATCTACCATAAACCATTGTTAAGCCACTTATAAACCAACGGTTCACGCTATCGACTAGGGGCCCCATCCTGTAGTGATCTATGCAAGGTTTATTGTCTATGTAAGGCCAATGGAAGGACATATGGGTTTGTCTGAAAATAGGGTATATTCCCAATTATAGCCATTTAATAGGGATAATGATCATTAACCATTGGGTTTAGGGGTACACTATTTTCAGACACACCCATATCCACAGAGTTTTGACCTCGTATTGTACTGGTACAATACCTCCATAGTCCTGGGGTCCTGGAAATCCCAATGAAAGGGATGCCGATCTCATCCATTATCCCTTTATGAAAATGTCTATGGTTGATATGTTTAGGCTGAAATATGTTCACCCTTATCTAGTAAGCATATGATAAATATGATTGGAGAATGAACGAGATATTTGAATCTACAGCATATCCAACATCAGGAGACACTTGTCAATATGTTACATGATGTTACATGCACAATCAATTATGATTCTTAATTATCGCTTGGATTATTATTTCTTAAGGTCACATTTTCCTCTTTAGTCTTCTATATGGGATTGTGTCAAAATTTGGAGCCCACGAATGCCCACGAATTCACTCCCGTTGATCTGCCAATTTCTGCCAATTTGGTCCCCTGATCCAAGCAGGACCCAAGGACCCAAAACTTTCTCAAAAGCAATATTTCTTGAATCCCCACTTTCCATCACTTTCCAAGGTCTTTTCCATGTTTTTCATTCAAATCGCCAAACATCCACGTCATTCTGAAAGTTTTCTCCGAGTTTGAAAAAGCCCAGATTTCCCCCCCAGATTTCCGGAGACGGAGACGAGGCCTGCAGCTTGTCCCAGACATTGCGTACGCCCAGCAGAAAGTTCTCAAAGTCCATCGCCGTGAACTGCGAACGGAAGCGTCTGAGATGGCACGAACAAAGCGTCGGAGAATCCAAGACTTCTATGGTGATAGCTATGGTGATGACTAACCACTATTAAGAAATGGTGATTTAATGGTTAACAATGGTGAATAATGGGATGATAATGGGATTTACCCTCTGATAAACGTTTACACTTCGCTATTGAAAATGGTCCATGTAGTTCGTTGATTTACCTATTAAAGATGGTGATTTTCCGCTATGTAAACGTTGACCAGAGGGTAACACATGGAGAAGCTACGCAAGTATCGGATTGAATGTGAACACACTGATAAAACCATGAAAATGCTAGGGAAACACATGGCATGAAGTGGCCATATTCGTCCAAACTGGCCCAAGGTGCATCCAATCGGGATATCTATGTCTGGATATATCGGAACAACTGCTTGGTGGTTTCAACCTACCATCCTGGTTGGATAATATTAATGGTTAACAATGGTTAATATTAATGGTTATTATATGGTTAATGATGGTGAACAATTTCTGGTTGGTGGTCGGTTGAGCCTACCCCTCTGAAAAATATGAGTTCGTCAGTTGGGATTATGACATTCCCAATATATGGAAAAATAATCCATTCATGTTCCAGTCACCACCAACCAGGATATGTCTGGGTAAAGGAACAAACATATCAACCTGAAAAAGTTACGGGTCATTTGAAGATACCCTCCAGTAAATTAACATAGCCATGGAAAGATCCACCATTTTGTAGCTAGGTAAACCATCTATTTCAATGGGCCATCTATACCATGGCTATGTTATTCATTACCAGAGGGTAGGAATCCCCGTTAAACCGAATCAGAAATTCATCCCGTTTCTATCCCCATGGTATCCCCATGGTATCCCCATCTATTGATGATAAAAGGCACCTTGGACCCAAGGCACGATTTGAACAAATGCGGATAAATAATCCATGATATTCCCGAAAAAATATGCAAACATAATCCATGATAAAAAATGGGACATTAGATAGTGATATTGGATTATCACAGTATATTCACGATATATTTTCTCATTAGATTGTGATAATCCATGAGATTCCCTAATATATCAGATAGTAAATTTCCCTCTAATAACCAATCACCAGGGCATTTGGACACTATACCATATATTGAGGGTTGATTACCCATTAAGACACGATAAAAATTGCCGCTTCATCACCATCTGTGATATATGATATATGATGGAATCTGGTAATCAATCTATCAATATTTATCATCCATGAACTATTGCAATATATTTTACCATAGATAGTTAATCATCTATCATCCATTACAGTAATTAGTACCAATTACCATATATATATACCATATTACCATATATCTTTAACAATTTCTTTAACCGTAACCATATATTGATGGTTAATCATTCAGATCAACCATCAAAATCTTGGGTCCACCTGTGGTTTTCCGGGTCTTCGACTTCCACCTTTGACCCAGCCTTTGCGGCGATCGCGCACCGTTGTCGCTGTGTGAAATGATAGTGATGGTCACAAACTGCTGTACTTCCCAACAAATGACAAAGTCCATAAAACTTGAGAAGTACGACACACACACACACACCACAAAAACATGTCGTTTGTTGTCATGTTTACATAGAATTTCCAAACTAGTCTCTCATTGATCATAAAACCTGACCATTTGAACAGCAGACACAGGGCATTGACAGGACAACTAAGGCATGGAAAGTTCAACATAAAAAAACGAGGATCTTAATCATCTTAATCCAAGAAAACTTGAACTTTAGAAGAAATCCGGAATGGCACACTTATTAGGCTTTCTAACTTACCTTTGAGGAGTATAGTATCTTGTGGTTCAATCTTGCAGTGCAGTACTGAGCCATGTTTTGCCGTCATGAACGCCACACCTGGACTTGAGATTCGAAAACTGCAACGGATAATGGCCCTGAGGCTTCAAGTGGGGAGTATAACATCCGTGGCCAAAAACAAAAACAACATCTGGTTGGTGGTTTCAATGCCTCTCAAAAATATTAGCCAGTTGGGATGATGACTATTCCCAACTTTTCATGGAGAGTCATTCAAAATTCCATGGGTCCAGTTAGATTGGATCATCAGATCATCATCCCCAATCTGCTTGGGGAAATCCATTCATGTTCCAGTCACCACCACCAAGCAGATATTATGGATATGTATATATAAAATATTATAAAATATATAGAAAGTCTCTCATGTTGTCCAACTATTCGTCAATTTGCCGAATGAATTTCTCATAGAATTGGATGATGGGAAAATTTACAGGAAAGCCCTATATTTGATGGTAAAAACCATGGTTTCCTGTAGATTTTCCCTTAATCCAATCCAGTGAATTTCTACACTCTCCAAACCGCCATATTTCCGCATCATTTCCACGCCTCATGGGATGGTCACGATCATCCCCCAAGGACATCTGACCGATTCATCGGAATTGTGATTAACCATCAAAGCTTAAGTACACCTGGTACCCGGCCTGGTAAACGGGCTAACATAACGAACTGGAAAGATCCACCATGCTATTAATGGGAAAATCAACGATCAATATGATAAATGGCAATTTTCAATAGCGAACTGTTAGTTTACCAGAGGGTACACCATGCAAGCATCAATGGGAGGTTCGGGCACCTTGGGCCTTGTCAACTGCTTTTTGACCCATTGCTATGTGAGAGTGCTTAAACTTAAATTCTGCTTCAATATGGTTCAATGCACGATTAGTTGTGGGTCAAAAGCCTGTAGCTGTTTTCTAGAACAGTAGGTTTCCTAAAATGGAGGTACCGTCATCATCCATTTATTGCTAGGATTTCCCCTCACAAAAACCATCCAGCTATTGGGGTACCCGCATGACTTAGGAAGCCTCCAACAGTATTGCTTTATCCCAGGATTCATGGAACAGTTGAAACTTGGGGTTGCAACAATAACCACCCATCACTAAAAATAGTTTATATGACCTAAAAATTTATGGTGATATTGGGGATGGTTCATGGCATTGTTTTACTAGCATTACTTGGGGTTGTGAATAACTACGGTTTCTTTTACGTTTCTTGATCTTGATGATCTTGGTCCATTCGTATCCACATGCTTCTGTCTGAAAATAGGCTACTTGGTGGCTCATCCCACTTAGTAAGTGGGCTATAACCCCAGTTATAAATGGGATAAGTAGGGTTAATCCACTTATAATTGGGGTTATAACCCACTTACTAAGTGGGATGAACCACCAAGTATACCCCAAAATAAGCCTTTTGAATGGGCAAATGATCATGAACCACTGGAGTTGGAAGTAGTTTATTTTGAAACAAACTCACATCATCCATCATCATCTGGTTGGTGGTTGAGCCCTACCCCTATGAAAAATGAATGACGGATCGTCACTTGGGATGATCATTCCCAACTTTTTATGGAAAATCATTCAAAATTCCATGGTTCCAGTCACCACCAACCAGTGAAGTGCCTTTTTCCCGCAACAACTTTGGATGCGCTGAAACGAACAAACTGGCGCTGAAGCGTCTGAAGCCTCTGGTGAAATCGACTGTTTCGAGCTGTTTTGGGTTGCAGCGGTTTCCCGAGGGCTGGAAGCAGAACCTATAATTGGTACTCCCTCCGAATCGGATAGGTCTGGGATCCAATTACTGTAAACAACTCGACTTTTAGATCTTTTTGCTGGGGAGACCAAACAATTCCTGTCTCAGGGGTCCCACCATTCTTAGACACCCATACTGGGACCCAGCACCGTGCATCATGTCCTTTTCCCAAAGAAAGTATATACCCGGCCTGGTAAAAAACTAACAGTTTGCTATTGAAAATGACCATAAAAATAGTGGATTTACCCATTAAAAATGGTGATTTTCCATGGTTATGTAAACGTTTACCAGAGGGTAATGACAATTCTTGGGCTGATTGATTCACATCATGATCAATCCGTAGCCTGGTTGTTGATTTTGGGAACATATCGCATTTCAGGTGATTGTACCACTGACCCAAGCCCATCGGCCAACTTTGCTCACATTTTCGCTTCAACATGAACCCCGCAACACGTTCCATGGATTGGTTTAATGGACACCCACTTACAGGAAATCATGGTTTTGACAATTAAATAAAGCGCTATCCTCTCCCTTTATCCAAGTCTTCGATTGAAACTGCCAACTCAGTGATATATTGGTCGTATATACCCAAGTTCTGTCAGTTGCACCGTATTTGATGAATCTAAATTATATCTTGTCATAATATCACAGCATATCATATCAACACATGTCAAATACATCAAAACATTATGCATAAAACTACGACCTATATCATACAGTGCATTTAGTTTCATCATTATATATATATATAATCAGAAATGCAACATCACAAATAATATACATCCCAAAGAATCCCAACTCCATTGGGGCCCTCGTGCGCCTCCGGTACGTCAAGGACAAGTCGCCCAGGTACCCAGGTCCCGGTCCAGGCTGTAATGTTAAGCTCAAACATGTTCGACATGTGATAGCACATGTTCATAAAACATAATCCTGATTCAATTGTGATAATCCACAATCATCCCCATATTTTGGGTATAGACATCAGACCAATACCTATCTCAAAACCTTGTTTTTCCCCCAACGCTTCTCGTGGACTATGCACATCTGGTGCTGCCTGGAGTCTCAGACTGGGACAGTTGGCTGGCAAAGGGTCACAAACACATTGGGAAATAGTCCATATGTATTATGTTTTCTTTTTGGGGGCCATACCTGATCACATGCTTATCATACATTTTGACCCTGTTCCAACCTTTGCACGTGTAAGTGCAGAAGCGCTAAATACTTTTGAAGTGTGCGCAGTGTCAAAGACGATCTATGAGTGCGGCGCCCTATACGCCCTATGTAACCCACAAAGGATTCTGCCTTCAGCAACATATAGTGTCTGGGGTTTAAACGCGTCTCCCCTGCGTCAATCCCAGCGTGATACAAGAAGTGATGCTTTGGTAGCAGCGCAAAACAATTTCTTCCTGGCTCTTTCCCCTTAGCTACTTGTCCCTGTACATGTAAATTACCGTAGGTCTGCAAGTGCAGCAAACAGTGATATTGAAACTCATTGGCTTCAGCCTCAGTGAAAATGTTGTTGGCGGAGTCCATGATTTCCACCATGCGAGCGTAAGTCCAAAGACAAGTTGCTAGAGTCTTCTCCAGCCATGTCGCTGTATCGCGGGATGCCCAAGACACAGCACGATCAGCCAGGAAAAATGAAATTGTTTTCCCAGCAATGGCCTTTGAATTCAGCACTGGCCACATTTGCCGATGTCGTCTGTTCACCCTGGCAACTGTAAAGCGAGGTTGGCTACAAGCGAGTTTGCGGCCCTTTTTCCAAGCTAAGCAATCAGCATGAGCTTCTTGCAAGGCAGCTTGAAGTTTCTCATCATACTTGCCCGGGCCACCCAAGTTTCCCCACAAACCAGTTTCACAAAGCACCACTAAAGCGGAGCCATTCAGTGTTTTGCCAGTCCCCAGGTATTGGCCATGGGCCATATCATGAAGAACTCTCTTGGGATGTGACCCTGGTATCAAGTAGACTGCTGAGCCTCAAATCATGGGGTTTGATTTGATCAATAAATAACAAGCCACACACACAAAAAAAAAAAAGAACTGCAAGCAATCAAAACAAAAACAGCCATAGCTAATCCAGGTGAAAGAACGGTTGACAAGGTCTTCGCGTCGATAAGTTCTGATAGTGGATCTGTGCAAAGCAGAAGGTGTGAAGTCGCCGAGTGTCATCCCAGGCAAATCATGACGCTTCTTGCATTCACAGTACCCGCAAAAGTCATTACCCCGGTAATCGAACAAGTTACCATAGTGTTGGTTCACCCACTTGAGATCTCCCTGCAAACTTGACAACATGAAACTGCAACCGCTTTCCAACCATGGATAACCACGTTCCTGTGCCAACCTTGGGGTGACCATCATCTTGATTCGCTCTGAAACTGCCGTCATCAAGTCATTGAATGTGTAAGCACACTCCTCATGTTCAGAAAAAGCTGTGATCAGGTAGTACCGGGACTTGAATGAACTCTGTGTTGATAGGTCGCTGGACCATGCAACTATTGACATTGAACCACATTCGCTGTTTCGATATGCTTGCACATCATCACCATACAGCGATAGGGGAACCATGTTGTCCCAATTGTTGGCATGGTTGTAGGATGGGTGTGACCTGAACCATTCGCAGTAGTTCCGGCAGTGTTCCCAATACTGTTTCAAAAGTCATCTGGGTAAATGAGGGGCAAGTTCTTCTTCTCAATGCAGGACTTCTTAGGATTCCACATACGCACAGGTGCCGTAGAAATTTTGGCCCCAAATCGTTTCCCAAAAGTTGTGATAACCATTTGACAGTCACGTTCGATGTTGGCTTTGTATCGGCCATCAGCACCAACATGACTCAGCTTCCCAACCAAATCATTGTGTGGGATGTTCCCGCCAACAGACTTGCACCATTCAACTGCTGATTTTGCCGTTTCTTGAGCCTTAGTTCAGAAAGCCAATGGCATTAAACAGGAAATCATTGAGGTCACTTTGGGGAACAAAACACCTATGTTTTCATGGCTAAGAAACTGTTGTAGCTGAATGCTTGCCACTTGCATAGTTCTCAAGTAGAAGTTCCCCTAAAGGAGCAGGTGCCACGGGTTTCCTGTCATATCCCCTGGTCGCTTCCAGCACATGAGGGGCAACGAATGGGGTGATCCGAGGTCTCTTGGCGCAATGGGCTTCGTCAGGATCCTGCAGTGAACAAAGGTGTGGATCTTGAGTGCGGGGACCCTTGAAACCAGATAACACCCAAAGATATACATATCTTAGTGGGAGTAATATAAAGCTTTCTTTGACACCCCAAACTTCAAACCCAAGTTTGTCCTTTAAACCATCCAGGAAGTGAGTAGGATAGTGTCCTGCCCCAGATACGAAGTTGAAAGCACACATGGTGAACTGTTGTTTCGCAAAAGAATATGCACACATATTGCAAGGTTTTTTTTCTTCTGGTTCAGCTCCGAAGTCAATCTGAGATTTGATTCATCACGTGTTCATCACGTGCTCGATTTCACAAACACATGTAACATATACAGGGTCTGACTGACCATTTGGCAGAGAAATATGGTAGACCTTTGCTATTTCAATATATTTCAATAAGATCTGAATTAAACATGAATAAACATATCATGACTGGTTTTAGACCCTGCAACCACACCCCAGTAACTGCGCTTTGGTGGGCTGCATTGCACCCCCAGGGCAGCTACGCCCCAGAAACTTACGTCATACGTCCATCGCGTCAGGCTCATTCAGCTTCATCGCCCTACAAAGCAGGAGAAACTGGCCGGGCTATGGGATGAAATGAAAGCTATAGTGAACCTCTATGAGTCATGTGCTTGCCAAAAGAATCATATGATTGTTTGGGATAATAATCGAACTACCACATGGCCCACCTCATCAGTCTTTCGTTTCTTTCCACCCTTTGGCTTGCACAAGTTGGATGCGCACGAAGCATCATTCAAGTAGGCATCGCGGATAGCATTGGCGACCACAATAGCCTGCACGAGGGCCTCCATATCGATCGCCTTACCCTCGTCCTGCTATGAGCAAATGGGGAAAACAGGATGGTCAACACAGAATAACCAATGTTGATGGGTTTAGTAATTGCTTTACTGTTACACTGTCACACTGTCCTGCTATGAGCATATGGGGAAAACAGGATTGTCAACACAGAATAACCAATGTTGATGGGATTAGTGATTACTTGCTGTTACACTGTCCTTCTCCATCTTGAGCTGTTGCATCTGAAAGTACTTCTCTTCGATGAGCTGCGAGTGCTTCTCCATGAGGTTTCCTCATTTTTTTTGTCGTTGCACACAGCCATGAAACCACGTAAGGCCGTAACAATTTTTCAGAGGCGCATGGTTCATCAAATTTTCATAAACGACAATCTCATTAACTAATATGCCTTTGCAAGAGTCTCAGAGTTTCCTGGTGTTTGTGTTGGCGAAGGCGAATGGGCCACATCTTAGATTCCTTCAAATCCTTCTCCAACGCTGGTGTCAACCAATCAAGGGCAGCGGATGCGTCCGTATATGGACATGGCATGACTTTGGGCCTTAGATCGATAGGTGATATCGAGAAGGTAATGGATGATAGGATTGGGGTAGGTTAATATAGTATAAACAATAATGTCAACCCTGGATTAATAAACCCCTAGGCTGTTTAATTTGGGAGATTACCATTTAAGTATTATGACTATTGGAGGAATTAATAAACCATGGTTTATTAATCCGGGGTTGACATTACTCACAAAACAGGTTCTCTTGAGACCAAACACTTGGCAGCTTTCTTCGCCTTCTGGTAGGTAGGCAAACCCTTTCCCTTTCCCTTTCCCTTATTGGCATCCCCTGTCTCGTTCCCGGCATCAGGCCCATGACTTGGAGATGGAACCGTTGGGGCTGGAGTGGCAGCAACTGCCTTTGCAGCCGGAGGAGCCGCAAGGGACACACCCTCGTTGAAGGTCGCCGAAGCCATGAAGTGCTGGGCCCCCTGTCACTGGGGCGACAGATGTTAAATGTCCCATGGTTATGTATATAATTAGTTGATCAATGAATCATGATTGCATAACAATCAGCCAATGTTCATCGGCCTCACTGGCCGCATGCATGTTTGCATTCAACGCAAGAGTTCTGGTCTCTGCGTGTTCTTCCTGCTCGGACCGGGTCAACTCAACCAGTACCTAAGTGATACAGCTGGGGTATACAAGGGATATTTATGTATACTGCATGCATACATGTGACTTATTGCATCGCAATTCTGTGCACAAATCAAGCCAAAGTACCCAGTACATTTTGACATCCACAAGATCTGGGTGATGTTCCCATAAGCCTTCACGCTCTTTCCGGGCAATCACGTTGTCCACTAGGGTTGAATCATTGCCATGAAGCTGCAACAATTGGGCTCGGGTCTTCCAACCTGAGTTGCATGAAGTGAAACCGCTGCAGCCAGGACTCTGATGGCCTTCAAGAGCATCTCAGTACCCCACCATGCTGCTTGTTCCCAATGGTGCGGTCGGTGTGGGATCGCGTGAAGGAAAACTCCAACCTCAGGGCAGATCATAAGTTCATGTGTTTCTGGTATGAACCAATTGTATGAACATGTAACGTAGTTTAGTATGACTGCAAGTCAGGTAGCATCGAGAAATCCTTACCGGCTTGCAACCATGTGTTGAAGAGCTGTGTCTTCGCAGTTTTGCAATTTTGTTCACATGCTTTGTTCCAAGCTTGGACAACGCAATCAGGGATACCATTGGCTTCTGGCATTCTCAGCTTCCTGCAGCAGAACATACAAACAAACAACTTGCTAGCGCGAGTGAATAATGAAGATATGTTGATATTTCATGCACATCAATAGTGTCGCCTCTTGAAGTCGGCTTGCATAGCTTGTCGCGAGTCATAGTTATCCGGAATCACCGGTTCCACCTTTAAAGACATGGGAAGCGATGCAAACATGACAGGAGATGGTGGAAATAACAGCATATGCATACTATACCTTTGGGCTATATAAAACAAAAAAAAGTGAAAATCCTTTGAATGCTAAGCCACTTCAGACCCAGGCTTGATCCCAATTGCAAACGCTGACATAGATCCATCCCCCCCGGAACTTGTCTTTGGAACAACAGGGGTGGTCTTCGGGACAACATTGTTGGTCTTCGGGAGCGCAGGGACGGTCTTCTGGAGAACAGGGACGGTCTTCGGGAGAACAGGGACGGTCTTCGGGAGAACAGGGACGGTCTTCGGGAGAACAGGGACGGTCTTCGGGACAGCTTGGACGGTCTTCGGGAGAACAGGGACGGTCTTCGGGACAGCTTGGACGGTCTTCGGGAGAACAGCTTGGTTAGTCTTCGGGACAACAGGGGTGGTCTTGGGGACCCCAGGGCTAGCAATGCTGCTTGGGCCGGCTCGTGGCACAGCCACCTGCTTCGGTGGTGGGGGTGGCAAGGGCATCGTTGACTTGGGTGCCACCGGAGGTACTGCAGCAGGTTTTTCAACTGCAGCTTTGGGTGGTGGTGAAATGTGCAAAGCACCAGCCTTTCTAACAGGTGTTGGCACACTTGCCGTCGACGTACTGTGGGGAGAACCTGCCATGAACTTTTGGTGCCAAATTTCCCATGTTGGAATTTGGCAAACATCATCAAAAGACCAGTCCTCAAGACCTGTCTCCACAATTTGCTCCTGGGCGAACTTGGGAAACATGGGGTCCTGCTTGATCGCCTCAATCATGCTATAAATTTCATCGTCGGTCTTCTCAACTAGTGAATCCAAAATAGCATTCTCCAACTGAAAAACTTCAAGCTGGTCCTCTGTCATGGCACCTTGTTTGTTCTTGAGTCGTTGCTCGGTCATCTCCTCTGGGGTAGGTCTGCCTGAGTCCTCCGGTGCTGTTGGAGAGACCGAAGGGAGGGGTGTCATGCGACGAAGTGATGCTGCTGCTTCCTTCATCTCATGTTTCGCCGTTGGCTTTTCTGCTGCTCTGGCCGGTGTGGCAACGGGTTTTGACACAACATGTTCAACCTTTGTTGTAGGTTTTGCCTTGCGCGATGTTGGGACAGGTGTCGGCACAACATGTTTGGGCTCTGCGCTTGGTACATGCGTGCCCCCACATGGGGGCCCCGACTTGGCAGCGGTAGGGCAACCAGACTCCGTTTTTGTTGTGACAAGTGCAACCACTCTGTGCTTCGGAGGTAATGGTGCTTTTGCTTTCTTGGGGGTAGTGTCTGAACTATCAAACACCAGCTCACGCTTCACCGTCGGTTTTTGGGCTGCTGCTTTGCCAAGTTCCACTGACACACTTGTTGATGATCTCGACAAGACCGTTGGTGGTGTCACAGACCTAGGCGTGTTAAGTATACATAGGATAGTGTGGGGACATGTATGGTCATATGCAATGGTTCACCCATGTGCAGGTTAGGAACGCATATTCCAAACGTTCATCGGCGTATGGATTGACAGTTGGCAACTCATCAGTCGAATCCTGCACTATGAATTCAAAAGAGAATATATATAGTTCAGATCCCACACTACTGGTTCAAACTGGGTTTTTTAAAAAACAGGATGTATTGGGATGTGGACCTGACAGTTGGTTCTCATGTTGCCCCATGCCCAGGTTGCGCTCCTCACTGCTCATCGCCGGTGTGGCAACTTCAGTAGGGGCCGAAGTCTCTGGAGTCTCTGCCGGTGATGGTTCAGGAGAAAGAGCCTTACAGGGATGATAGCCATGATCTATGTATACCAGAATATATCAACATAAGCACTGTGTATGGTCATACCCCCCATGGACCTAGCCTTCATAGCACCAGGGAATTTGGAAAACAAGTCTGACTTGCTTTTCGCATCCGTAGGAGAAAAAGATATCCACATGGCCTCCCCATGTGAATCTGCTGATAGGACAGGGGAAGCTGGGCAAATCTACAGATGGTTGAAGTAATTGTATTAACCTGCCTGGTCAGTTGGCATGGTCTGAACTCAGGATGGATACGTACGGACAAAAATGGCTACAATCACAAATGTACATGGATCATGTAAATCTTTCCGATGGGTTTCCGACGGGGGGTACGTACAGGGCCTAGTATATGAGGTACCCCCCTGAAGTTTCCGACGGGTTTCCGACGGGTTTCCGACACAGCCATTTTCACGTGCCCGGCAGGATGCATAGCAGCCGTGCAAATCACAATTGCAGTATAGTGTTGATACACACTCCATGAAGTAGGCACGAAATGTCCCCACGCTAAATGCTAAATATATTTTTTTTTCGTGGGATATGGGAAATCACCATTGCAGTAAGGAGGTACTTCATGGAATGCAAACACAGATCATTAAGTGCATTGGAGATCCAACCCACCATAAATTTTGGGTGGTCACCTCTCATATCCACCGTCATTCTATTTTTTGAACAGCGGGGTACTGGGAATTGTGGTCATCTATTCCCAAGTCCACTCATGGCCACTCATCCATGGTTCTGGCGGTTCTGCAGCATACCACGGAGGTAGGTCTCCACTTCATCAAGCCTGGGTCGCGGCTTGTGTTAGCGGTTCCCCTAACTTTTGGAAATCATCCACTGGGATTGGAACATAGATCATAGAGCCGTTGTATGATCATTCTAAGACCAAAGAACCACAACATGAAAATGGTGCTACTTGACTACCCCTGAATTGACTGCATAACCTATATCCGCAATGACTACATGTTTTCAAGCAGCTTTGCGTCAGTCCAATCATCCTCGAAGTCAATCTCCCGTTGAGGTTCAGGAGCACATTCTGCATAGGTGTTGAAGTTGCGATATACCTAGTTCAGTGGGGTGATGGAACAATTTAAGACCGGGCATAAGTTTCGATTGGTTTGAATTTCCTGCATATGTATGGTCAATAATTTCCATATGAATATGTCTCAGTGAGGTGACCTTTTTTGGTGTCAACAAGGCCACTAAAGGGGGAACAAAGGACACCTCATTTTGAGACATATCCATATGGAGATTCAAATCTAGATAGTTATGTTTGATCTAGCTATCATATATGGGCCATGGAAGGTGCAATTAAAAGGGACCCTTTGCGAGCGATTACCCTACCCTCTTGAACCCCACCATTGGTCCACCACCCAACACGTGCTGCTCAGGTTCAGCCCGTCCAAAGGATGGTGTGTAGATCTGTGTCGCCTTCAGCTTGGAGGAGCCCTTCCAGCGGTGTTTACCTTGGGCGTCAATGTAGTGAACCGTAGAATCAGACTTATTGAACTTGGACTTGTCCAGCTTCCTGCTAGCATCCATGGGATGGGCCACAATGGAGGGA